TAGTGGAATCTACTCACTTTTCCCCAAAAAAACTTCAAGGGGCTTCTTTGGCTATTTTTTGTCAAAAACCTCCATAGCCAACTAATCAACTGCATCCACTCTATGACAACTTTTTGTAGAGGAAGGATAATTAGTTGTATTGAATGCATTAAAATTGACTATCTTCTCTCCAACTTTGAAAGTTATCATGCCATTCTTCACATTTATAATTTCTCCGACTGTAGTTGAGAATGGCTGATCCAAAATAAGAGGAATTTTAGTATCTTCTTCCATCTCAAGCACCATAAAGTCTACCGAAATGTAGAACTTTTCAATTTTAACCAAAACATCCTCTATAATCCCAATAGGGTACATGATTGTTTTGTTTGCTAATTGCAAAGAAACTATAGTAGGTTGTATCTCATCAAGTTTAAGTTTCTTGACAATAGACAAGGGCATAATTGAAACTCCATCACCCCAATCACACAAAGCTTAGAAATCTAACACTACCAATAGTACAAGGAATTAAAAAACTCCTTAGATCTTTAAGCTTTGGTGAAAGCTTATTTTGGATGATATCACTGCACCTTTCATAAGTGCAGTTGTCTTAAAATCTTTCAATTTCCTCTTTTTAGTCTGAATGTCTCTCAAGAATTTAACATAGTTTGGCATCTGCTCTAAAGCTTCAACAAAAGGGATTTTAATATAGAGCTTATTAAATACCTCAATAAATCTTTAGAATTGCTTGTCAAGTTTCTGCTTTTAAAACATTGAGGAAATGGTGGTGGTGGTGGTTGTAATGGATTTGATTGAGCTTTCTCACCTTGAGCTTGTTCCTCAAAATTTTCAACCACTATTTCTTTTTCAATAAGCTTACTTGGAGAATTTGATTACATATTGTTACCTCTATGGCTTTCAAATTGATCCCATGTTTTGAAATGACAAAATAAAATGATCAAAATTTCATTTAAATCTTGCAATATTAAGTCTAGGCATCCCTTAACACTTTCAAATGAGTTTGAGAAGCAAAAAAAATAAATTATAAATAAAATATTAATACTTAAAAATGTTAATACTTAATATATTAATTATCAATATTTTAAATAAATTTTAAATTATTAATATTTAAAAAAAATAAAAATAAATAATCATATATTATAATAAATTGTAGTTTTGTCTTTTTATCACATATTCCTTTGTTATTCGAAAATAATTTTCACCAACTAAACATTGTAATAAGTCATAATAACAATTCCTACCTTATTCCATTCCGTTAATCAAACTATATAATAACATTTTCATTCTATTCCTACCTTATTATATTTCCACAAAATATTTATTCTATTCTATTTTATTCTATTCCATGAATCAAACTTGCCATTAACTACTTCAAATATAAATAATTAATGCTTGTCTGACTCCGTCTTTATTTTAACTTATCTATCTCTTAAAAGTAGAAGTCAAACAAAACAAGATTTTGATAAGTTTTTAAAAAACTAGTTTTTCTAAAGAACAAAATTTAAAAAAAAAAGAGTTTAAAGAAAAGTTTTAGAAAGGCTCCATTGATATCTTTCTCCTCTACCTCTCTTTGCAAATCAACTTTCTTTAATGCAAATTGTGATCTCCCTCTCTTCTACCTCTCAATAAAAACTAATTAAAAAAGGAAAAAAACAAAAGACCCAACAATAGAATAGTAAAATCTGAGGTTTTTTTGTTCTTACAAAAATTAAAAAAAAAAAAAAAACTCAAAATTCAAATACGCATTCAATACTATTTAAATATTTTCTCTTTTCTTTTCCAAAAATGATTTTAATGTCAAATAAATCGTTTTCTCTTTTCTCTTCTTTCTTGAAAAATTGAAGTATCATGGTCCGATTGCTTGCTAAATCAACAAAAATTTAATATTGTGACTACTATTTTCTATATAGATTTCTTTGATTTTAACATCAAAAATTGTATAGAAGCTCAAACTATACTTATTATGTTGTAGTTTATTAGATGATTGAAAATGGTATGAATATCTTTTATAATAATTTTAATTAAATTAGAGTTTATATAATTTATTTTACCATATAACTAACCAAACAGCTTTAACTTAATTTTTAAAATGATTATTTTTCATAAAAATTTTATAATAGTTTTGAAACTAAAAACAATTAAACCAAACTAACTCTTAGAGAATTTTATACTAATTAAATTTAATTAAAAAATTTTATTAGATCTATTTTTATCATTTGATCTTATCACTTCAAAATATTGATCAATTGTAAAAATAACAAGGCTCACTTCAAGAGTCAAGATCAATGAGTCACTTCGCATTCCGCTTCAAAAAGTTAAATACTGAGAGATGTATGATCAGAGTAAGAATGCATCGCACTTTTTTCCCTGTTTGTTTTCTTACATGCCTTATTGGCGTCGAAACACATTAAATGCTAGACCTGGTGTCATTTTTTTATTATTTTTAATGGCTTTGATGGCTCAAAGCTCTAGCAATGTGTCTGGTGGTTGGACTTGGACTTGATGCCATTTCTCATACTGCTGACAACTCAGAATAGAAAAGAGAAAGTGGAACAAGATAAAGGGACAAAAAGTAGAATAAAGTTAATAAAAATTAATTATATTTTATTTTATGTTTTACCATGTGGCAATTTTCCCGTATCATTCCCACCGCCTATCATAAGATTTTTACTTTGATAATAGGGTTAATGGCAATTAAGAACTCAATTCAAGAAAAATAATAATATAAATCCAATAAATGTATAACTGTTTGTTTATGTTTTTAGTACTTGTTTAGTCTGATTTTTTTTAATTTATTTATATTTTAAAAATAAAAATCAAGTCAAACATAAATTTTTAAAATAAAATTAAAAAAATAATTTTTTAAAAAATAAAATTTTTTAAAAAAAACTTTACGAAAAGCTCCTATAAGAAGCTTTTTTTTTTCTCTTTTCTTAAAAATATAAAAAAAATTTTATTTTTATTTCAAAAATATTCTCATCTGTTAAAAATAATTATAATATAATTTTTTAAAAAAAAAAAATTTTTTACGTTAATTTTAATCAAAATTATAACTTATAAAAAAAATTATTAAACAACTTCAATTTAATTTTAAAAGTTATTATTTTTTGTAAAAATTTTATAATAATTTTTATTATCTTTTAAAAATAAATTTTCTATCATAGTAATTGTAGATGTAAAACAGAAAAAAAAAATTGAGTAGAGCCCGTAGAAATAAAAGAAGGAAAAGGTGAGAAATGTTATCTCAACCTTTGTTGAAATCTTGAAGATGATAAAAGGTTTTTCAAGGTTGTATTGATAAGGTCAAACCGCCATTCCTTTTGAAGAACCAAACAGAATTTGAAAAGCCGCAATGCTTTTTTTTTTTTACCAAAATACCCTTCTCTACCACTGGTCAAAACTCAACACGCCTTACAATCAGTGCCCAGCGTACGTTAAATTTCAAACTCGGGAGAGCAGATCTACCATGGCACTGGTGTCACTTTGTCAGCATCCGTTCCCTTCTTATTCCGGCCTTTCCGACAGAGGTAACCCACACGTGAACTGCCACGTGTTACGTAAAACCCAGTAGCGTAATTTTTACAGCGCCTATTTCGTCACAGTCGTGTAAGTGTTACATGTTACGGTTCAAAAACGAGTCGCCGAGTTTGGGTTTTTTTGCTCTCGGAGAAAGGGGGATGAATCTTTGGTCCTAATGTCCGAACTCCCAACTAGGGCGGCACCGAACACGACACGTTTCCAAAATGAGGCGCCGAGTCATGACTCAAAACTCGTTGTCCCAAGTCGCAACTAACTCAATCCTACTTTCCTCCAATTTTTACAATCACTGTTTATAAATAAAACTAGCATGTTATTAACATTTAGTTTCCTTTTACGCACACATATCCTAGAGAGATTACTAATACCTACTATATCTTATTATAAAGTCAAATATTCAAAATTTATTAAAAATATCCTATTTCAATTATAATTGTTATTTACACTGAAAAATGTAATCTCAAAAATATTTATTTATTGTAGCAAAGGAGGTTAAAAGGGGTGTGATAAAATAAAACATTACCTAAATAGGGCAATCATGATATTAAACAAAATAAATTCTAAGGGTATATAATAAGGCAAAAAGAAAAAAGTGTTTACAAGATTTTGGCCACAGAAACAGGTAGACAGAGGGATGGTGCCGATTGGACAATGAACAAATTCTACTGTATAACTTGGTTCTCTTTTGTATCCACTATGTCATTGCCCTTTAGAGTCTCGAATTTCTTCTCTCTCGTTCTCTACATCAAATAAAACAAAAGTAAAAAGAGAGACAGAGAAGGGGGGAGAGGAAAAGCTGTCATCTCCTGCCTCATGCGAAAGCGTTTTCCTTTTCTCAACATCTCTCTCTAGCCATCTGTGACGGATCAAGTCAAACATTGCCAAAAGCAAAAGGAAAATCAAAAAAACAAAAATACCCTCTCTCACCGATCAATACCAAAATTGAAAATTTGGAAATTTGAAGGGTAGAGAGAGAGGTTTTGGGAAATAAAAAAATCTCAAGTCTTCTGCAGCACCTGGTATTTGCCATAGTAAAGGTTGTTGGTCAGAATTTCTTTTCTTTTTTTTTTTTATTTGGGTGGGTTTCCTATTATTGTTTAGTTTTCTCCAGAAAATTCAAGGTTTTTTCCGGGAAAGTTAATTTTTTTAAAGGAATCTGAGGAAAACACGAACTACCCAACTTTTGTTTCCGCCTATCTTGATTTCTTTTGTTGGTATCCGCAAATCCTATCTTTGACGTAATCCATTCGATCATCCCTATCATCGTCAGAATACCCAAACTTTTACAACACCCCTAAAAAAAAAAAAAAGGAAAGAAAGACCAATAATATTGAATTAGTAGTTTTGAGTCATTGATTTCGATCCTCCATGAGAAAAATCGATTTCCACTTGAACCCCATTTTTTTGATCTGAATTGGATCGAATTTGTTGTTTTGTTCTGGAAAAAATAATTTAAAGTAAACAGAATGGCGATGAATGGTGTGCCATTAGAGCAGTGGAGGGATTATTTCCGGACAGCAAATTCGAACATATTTGCTATAATCGATCATGCAATAACGGTGGCAGCTTTGGATTGTCCTAAAGAGTTCAGATTACGCAGAGATCAAATTGCTGAGAAGCTCTTTACTTGTAAATTCACTCGCTGCTCCGGTTGCGACCGTGTCGAGTTGGTGGTCCCAGAATACGGAGACGATGACGGCAGAGGCGGCCGAGCAAGGTTTAAAGGAGAAGCTGATGAAGAAGATGGATGTGAGTTTTTCGAGGCAGGCGGTAGCAAAGAAAGCAAGGCTAATAGTAGCAGGGATGATCCCTTGATGAATCAAATTGCTAGTAATTATAGCTATGGGGAGGCCGAGGCTTTGACTGACGAAATTGAAGAAGAGTCTATGATGGTTGGGGAAGTCTACAGGATCAAAGAGATTCTTCACAATAGTCAAGATGAGGTCTGTTTGCACTTTGGAGGAGTTCAACACAGCCTTCTTTGGATTTGCTTCCAGGATAATTTTTGATGCATACCTTCTTTTGTTGTTGATGTTTCTTGCAGTCTGATTCTGTATTGTTCGATTCATTGAGGCGACTTCAGTTAATGGCTTTGACTGTGGATATTTTAAAGGTTGATTGAAACCTTTTCCACTGTTTTGAATTGGTTTTAGCGTCTTTCCTTTGTTTTTTTTTTTTTTTGTTACTCTGCTCATATTGCTTGGACTGAAACTTGGTAATCTGTTTTGTCTTCTTCCCTTTTCAGGCAACTGGGATTGGAAAGGCTGTTAATCGTATCAGGAAGCATTCATCGAAGCAGATTCGTCATCTTGCACAAACTCTCATCGAGTATGACTTTATTCCCTGTACATTCATTGAAATTGAATGTTTGATTATTTAGTGTGATAAACATGAATAATACGTGCTGAATTGATTTTACTTTTAGGGAAAAACCTTGCAATTCGGTTTCTACTTACCTGGGATTCAAACTGAATTTGCTTTATACGTATTATTACCCGTCTTTTATATGTCTGTCACGGCTTTGCAAGATTGCCTGTCTCTACAGATTACCCAGCAAAAGAACTGATTCTGTAATTCATCTAAATCGTTGCGTGTATTCCATAAATTCAGCTTCATAATTGACAATCAAAGATTAGGTGTTTGTAGAACCGTTGGCTTTCTCTAAATAGCATATGTTGATTTTTGCTCGCTCCGTATTCACCATTAATATAATTGTTACTGCAGACGTCAACAGCTTTACCAGTAGAACAGCCTACTGTAGTTTCTTCTCAGTTATTAATACTTGTGCCTCCATTTGCTGTGCTTTATCTTCACGTCTGTTGGACGACTAGGCTGATTACGTGTTCTTTTGCCTCTTCAATCTGTTAATATACAAATTAGTGGACTGCTTGATTGGTATAGATAGATAGTTGTGCGCTTAATTTCAGCTTCAATGCAAACATACAGAAATTGGAACACTCAGCATTTCTTTTATGAATGATTGGTGGCTTACTGAACGCATCTCTGAAGCCTTAAATGATGCTAGCTTGTCTGATTTCTTGACCTAAGCATATTAATTGCTTTTTCACTGCAGTAAAAATTTATTGATTTATAATTGTCTAGACTGTAAGATGCACTCTTTCACCCAGTTTTGTGGATTGCAGTGGTTGGAAGGAATTGGTGGATGAGTGGGTTAATGCTGCAAAGGCTATTGCTGGTAAGAACTAGTTTACCAGTATTGTTAATTCATGGAAATATGCATTGCTTCTTTTCCCCCTTTTTATTAATTCTTGAATTTGTGAATGAAGAGGGTACTCCAGAATCTGTGAATCCATCTGTTCTTCATAATGAAGAGGAAGAAGAAGAAGAAGAAGAAGAAGAAGAAGAAGAAGGGCTTCCATCTCCTCCTTTAGATGTAGGAGCTTTCTTTGCTACTCAACCAACATCAATGGAGCTCTCACAGGTAAAAGTTCTTTTTTTCATCTGTTATTTTTTGCATTCATCCATATATGAACTTCTTCTTGCTATTATGCTTGTGGACTGATTGGAACCTTTTTTGTTTGTCCACATCACTGGTGCTCCATTATGCGAAGTTTTTTGACGGCATGGATGATGATGGAAGTGAGTTGAATTTGCTACTTCTAATGCTTCTCTGAGATAGCTTTTGCCATTTGGATTTTCTCTATTTGAATACCCCACTTCTTAGATTCATGAATATTATCCGTGAATGTTGTTTCAGATCCTCGCAACAGTGGAGAATTCATCAAGAACCAGAACAACAGAAGAAAAGCTTCACAGGAGAACCAAAATGTTTCAAAAAGGAAGCAGCAGACTACAAGTGAAGCAAATCTGCTCACCAAGGATGATGAGAGTCAACAAATGAAGAGACAAGAACCTGTTGCCAACCCTAACAGCAAGCCCCAGAGAACAAATATGGGGTCTGGGAGACCTCCAAAACATGATATGGAGCAAAAGGCCAACTTTGAATCAAAGTTGCTGCAGAAATCAGATAAGATGGCTGTTCCAAAGAAGCCTCTCAGCAGTCAAGTAGATGTAAGTGAAGGATGTTTCTGTACTTTGAATATGCACCTTCAAAATCTTTTTCTGATCACTGCTTCTTTATTCAGAAATTCAAGACTTCAGATGACATTGCTGTCCAGCGAAAGCTTGAGGCCACAAAAAGGAAGCTTCAAGAGCGATATCAACAGGCTGAGAATGGTTTGTCTCTTCCACTCTAAATTCTGTACGAGTCCTCTATAGTATGATTAAAAAATTGTTTTAAATTTAATATTTTCCTTGTGCAAGTGAGATACTAGGTTGCCACGGAACTGATTTATGTTTGATTTAAATGACAATTTACTAAGTTGATATTGCCTTGAAATTTAATTACAACTTCCCATTCGACTGTGGTTGCATCAAGCTGTGAAGAATTGCTCTGATGGTGGTTTCTGTCTTTAACAGCCAAGAGGAGGCGGACAATACAGGTAATGGAGTTGCATGACCTTCCAAAGCAAGGGTCTGGCCACAAAAATGCTTATATGAAACCTGGGAACCATAATCGGCAGTGGGTAAATGGAAGGAGATAGTGTCATTTGGAAGAGTGGTGTGGATAGCCTTCAAATTTTCTTCCATTTTGCAAATTAGGTGGAAGAATACTAATAATAAACTGGTGCAGAGTGACCGGAGCCACTTCAGCAATCAATAATAAGAATTCTTTCGAGCGATGGTGGCGCTATGAAGCTACAGAAGGGACATTCTCAAAACAAACTTTTGAGTCTGTCTTACATTTTGAAAAATTTAAGGTATAGGGACTTTTTCTTTTACTGATTAGATAGGAAGTCTAGGATGGGTAAATCACACATTTGGAGACTGAATTCTTGAAGCAATACTCGAATGTATCTCTGTATAGAATCCTGATTTTTAACGAACCCCTTTGATTGACATCTCAACATTCTTTTTACTCATAATTAACACCTGAATTTACTTCGAATAACTGCTTTGTAGTGAAATGATACTGATCAGTTCTAAGCTCTGTTGTTTTTCTTTATCAAGTGGAAAAGGAAGAACACACACTTGCATACAGACAAGTGAGATATAAGTCCATGGGATAGGTGTAAGCTGTTTTGACATGATGTAACATCTTGAATTTTGATGTAATGAACTATACCCAATTTTGTCCTGAGTTTGGTTATAGACCACCCCACAACCACAAATTTTCCAACTTGATCACTATAAACTTAGCTAAGCTGTGTTAACAAGAAAAAGAACACTTCTGGCATCTCAATACTGTAAATAGTTATCATATTTGGAATCTCAATCTCAAGTGTCTTTTATAGTATTCGTTTCTTAAAATAAACATGTTACTAATTACCTAAATTAATTTATGAAATCTTTTTTACTTTACCACCCATATATATTATAAAAATCCTTATCATAATTAATATACTATATGTAGTGGAGATATGGCATTAAAAATTTCACTAGTAGATTTATATGCTTACTATTTGTCTATAATTGTAAATAAGGAAATCAACATTTATTTAGAAGTGTGAAATCTTCTTTACTTCATCACCCATATATAATATAAAAATCCTTCTCTTATCATAATTAATATACTATATATATATGGTATATATATATATATATATATATATATATATATATATTGAAGATATGGTATTAGAAGTTTCACAAGTAGATTTATATGCTTACTATTTTTCTATGTAATTGTAAATAAGGAAATCAACATTGATTTAGAAGTTTGAAATCTTCTTTACTCTACCACCCATATATATTATAAAAATCTTTATCTTGTCATAATTAATATACTAAATATATATTTATAAATATATAGGAGATATGGTATTAAAAATTTCACTTGTAGATTTATATGCTTATTATTTTTTTATATAATTGTAAATATGGAAATCAACATTGATTTAGAAGTGTTTATAAATCAGTTCGAGTTTCAGTCAGATCTATCAAGTTTTTCAACTTTTTAAAATAAAATCTAAGTCTGACTCAATGCATTCATTTAATTATTATTTTATTATTAAAATAATAAAATTTCATTCTATGTTAATATTTTTAAATAAAAATTTACTGAAAATTAAATATTAATCAATAAATTAATCAAGTTTGATTAAATCAGACTCAAACCTGAAAAATTATAGCAAACCTTACTCGTGGTTGGTTGACCTTGTTGACTTGGATACATAACTCAATTTATAGACACCTCTATATTAATTTATTAGTTTAATAAACATAAAAAATATACAAATTTATTATAGAATTTTTATGTTATATTGTCTATGGGCAGGATAATAATAATCTTTTTATATGAATGTATTCAAAGAAAACAAAAAGAAACTTAGTACTAGGCTTACTTGCATGAATTAGCTCCATCAGCCTGAGTACCAGACTGATAATTGCGTCACCTAATAGGGCAAGTACACATGTATTAAATTGTTTGATAGGAGTACATATTTATTACATAAAAGCAAGCAGGGCGGGCGTGATAAGAATGGAAGTAGTAGCCTATTCTCATAGACAGCCTCCGTTCCTCCTCTTCCACTTCCATATTTCACAATTTTTTTATTTTGAAAAAATATTCCCACTCGTTAATGTTTTTTCCATTTTTATCTTCTTTTCCTACTTTACTTTCACTTTTGTAATAGAAAAGCCCTTTTATAAGTGTAAACTGCCAAGTCACACATTCTGCCATTCGTGTCTTCTCCTCTAACAGAGGAATGGAATTGGAATTTCTCCTCTTTAAAACTCAAAAAAGATATAGTATTTTTAAAAATTTTCAAAGTATTTAAAAAATTTTATATAAATTTTATTCTTCTATTATATTCAATTAAATTTTTATATTTTTATTTCAAATTAAATAAATTTTTATGATTAATAATTAATTAATATTAATAAAAATGTTATTTGTTATTTTTTATACCAAGTGATATTGACATAAAAAATGAAAATGTCATGTGATGATATTATAATGCCATGTCCACATACCGTATTATTATTTATTATAATATATAAATAAATCACATCAATATTACGTGATATAAAATAATAAATAAAATTTTAATTAATAATAATTAATTAATAATTAATTATAAGTGTTTTTATCATATATATATATATATATTATGACAAATCAAATAGCTTTGTTTGTTTTTGTAAGAAGAAGAATCTTATAGATGCTAAAACTCTAGAGATGAAGTTGATGTTGGTGTGAAATTGGGAATGATGGCAACTTGGCAACTCTACCCAAATTGCAAAAATATGGAAGATGTCTTATCAACTTATCCATGTACCTATCAAATATTCCCAAAATTTTGTTAGATATACTTGTCCATAGTGGTTGGCAAATGTGTTACAGTGACACATATAAAGAATCTAAAAATCGGAATTCCTTTTAAGGAAATTTAATATCTCATGTTACTTTATAAAAACTCACTATACTATCATCCCAGTGCAATAACCACTGCATACCGTGTATTGTAATAAATTTTTTTTTGATAAATATGCAAATTTAATTTGTTAGATGTCCAAGTCAAATTGGTTTGGACTTTATGATTATATAAAAGTGTTCATTTTATGCCAATCTCACAACTCTCTATAAAAGATTTTATTTTTTTAACAGTTTTTATGAGGTAACATTTTTAAAAATAGGGTTTTTGGTCATCCCCTCAAAAAATTTGTCTTTTTCTGACCGGATTTTTTTAATTGAAAAAAAGTAAAAAATTCATTGAATTTGATTTTTTTAATGAATTTTCAACAGCAAATTTTATTGAGAAATTCATCTTTAGAAATTAGTCAATAATTTTAGTGATTGAAAAATTTTTAAATCCGTCTATAAAAAGTTAACTTTTTCTAAACTTTAAACCCTAAATTCTTTTTTTTTATTAAATCAACTATTAGCTACCAATATAAATTTTTCACCACGATGCACTAATATATATATATATATATATTATAAGATATAAAAGGTTACTAAATAAGGAATGCTGATGTGAATACTTGTGTAGACAATTTATTATCTACTTATTTTAGCGACACATAAAATAATTTTTAAATTAATGTTATTTGGCAAATAGATATATGATTCAATATGTTATTTAAATATAAATATATTTTTTAATCTTTCAAAAATCTATCTTCCTTTTCTTTAAAATTTTTTTTGTCTAATTATGCTACGCATTATTCTATATGGCGTCATACATCTCTTTTAGACTAAACATTTCATACCAAAAAGCACCATTAAAAGGTAAAATCCTACTTCCTCTGCCTCACTAGCCAAAATTATTAATCTTGAAACTTAGATTAAATTGGATTAATCCAAAATAAAAGCTAGGGTTAGATTTAGCCCTAAATTAAAATTTTTTTTGAGGTCTAAGAAACACATATTGCAATGTAGCTTTTGTGAAACATTGTCTGATTGGAAAAAAAATTCTGTTTAATATCATATTTAATTATTATTAATACACAACATATTTGGAAGCAACAATGATAATTATTTAGTTATTATTAATTATTGGTGTCTATTCTTTTGAGTTTATTTTTACCAATAATTGAGTCAGTTTTTTTTTAAATTTCTTTCTGTTTATATATTACTTTAGCTGATATTTAAATCATGTGATATATATTTTCTAAAAAATTCGTAAGGTTATCTTAATTGAATAGTAGCTCCAAAAATTGAGTCAAAGTAAATTGAAGTTTATTAAAATAAATGAGAGGTTAAGTTCCACTTTTTTTGCATCTAATACACATAGGTAGTGTTATAATTGAAATGGTAGGAAATACTTATAACATAATTTCGATCTTAGGACATTAAATTCCCATAATTAGATATGGATAGTACCATATTAGACTACTAATTACATGCTACTATTTACGCTTACCTGAGTTAATCGGGGACTTAATACACGTGATATGCCGCCGTACTCGTTGGCCTGTCAGTCGGCGTCCGTTGAGGAGATATCTTCAAAGGTTTTGATTTGATCTTCTTGTGCTGTTCAGGTAGACTCGTAATATTCTTCCGCGGCTACCCAAAACGCGTTCCGTCTTACCTAAACATTAATTAACCAACCACTAGGGTGCTGAATTAATACTTAATTTGATCATTCACAATCTTATGAATCTCACATGCTTTCCATTCTCTAACAATTTCTTTCAACGTTTTTAGATAAGTTCTCGCAATCCATATTTTAATGTGCCTTACAAAATGAAATCGCCCTTTTGACTTGTTGAAACCTTGACTATTTTTGCGATTATCCAAGTCAACTTTGTTTAAAAAGAAAAAAAAATTCATCCACGTTGTGTTCATTTTCTAAGTATTCAGAAAGATCAAGTAGGATCGAGTTAGGTCTTATTGATATTTTGAAAATCTTAAGCTTCAATTGGACCAAATTTGATCTAGTTGAATTTATTATTTAAATATTAAAATATTTAAAATTTTTTTAATTATTTCAAATTTATTAAAAATTTTTTTACTTTTTTTATTACCTTTAAGTAAACCTATATAGTTTTAATTTAAATTAAATAAATTTTTTATTATTAATAATTAATTATTTATTTTTAATTAAAATATTATTTATTATTTTATACTCATATAATACTGATGTGATATTAATGTCACATAATCATGAAGATGAAAATATCATATGATTATATTATTATGTCATATTAATATTTAGTATAATATTTTAACATATTTAGTATAAAATAATAAATATTATTTTAATTAATAATAATTAATTAATTTTTAATATTTATTTAATTTAAAATAAAAATATAAAAATTTAATTAAACATAATAAACAGATAAAGTTTATATAAATAGTTTAAAAACCTTTTAAATATTATGTTATTTTTAAAATATTTTAAAATTAAAATTTATAATTATATAAATATAATAATACTTTCAGGCTGACTTCAAGCCTAAAAAAGGGATGCCCAAAGCTCAGCCGAAGAACACTTGTAACAATCAAGCTATCGTACGGTAAGAATAGGAAAATGTTACGACATATTTTGTCCATTT